AACAGAAAACATAAAGATCATTGGTTTGTTTACATCATAATACAGGAAAAAGGAACAATAACAAGGCTAAATATCTTTAAATGGTTCTTCATAATACATGAAAAATGTTGTTGTTTTGTTGTTGTTGTTATAGGTCTGAGGGATGAAACGAGGTAAATTCATCAAGAAAAGGAGGAAAACTTAAAGGAGAAACGTTTTGGGTATAAAATAAAGAAATTAACAACATATATTCAAGAGGTGACCATTTGGGGGTTTCTTAATAAAAAAAAATATCATTATAAGAATAACACTGTGGGTCACATTAGTAGGCCTAGGGTTTAAAATATAACAACTTAAATCAACCTTAAATGTATTCACAAAATGAATGGCCAGCTGTTTCTTCAACAATACCACAACAAAATGAGCAAGTTTAATCAATGTCAAGATATTTATAGATAGAAGAATTAAACGCGTCGTTGTTCATTTCTTTTAAGTTTTTGCGCTTGTGATATGATGATAACGCGTCGTAGTAGGTCACATGATAACGTCAACAAGGCAGATGTCCGGTTCTCATTCATACTCAACGAGATTTGGCAATAAAGTACCTACTCTTTTAGCGCTCGATGAGTAAGTACTTAAGTACCTACTCATTGAGTATGCGGTTTTGGACGCAGCCTTAGACCTGAGTGCAAAAATGGAGGCTCTAGCCCCTTCCAGAGCTGAGATATCGAAACTCAAAAATTCGGCCCGAAAAAAAAACGACAGTGGTACCCCTTACGTTTTTTTTTTTTTTTCGGGCGAAAAATTAAGTTTCTCCAAACTTCCCAAAACTCTGGATTCCGATAGAGGGCCATGAGACTTAGACCTGAGTGCAAAAATGGAGGCTCTAGCCCCTTCCAGAGCTGAGATATCGAAACTCAAAAATTTGGCCTGAAAAAAAAAAACGACAGTGGTACCCCTTAAATTTTTTTTTTTCGGGCGAAAAATTAAGTTTCTCCAATCTTCTCAAAACTCTGGATTCTGATAGAGGGCCATGAGACTTAGACCTGAGTGCAAAAATTGAGGCTCTAGCCCCTTCCAGAGCTGAGATATCGAAACTCAAAAATTCGGCCCGAAAAAAAACCCGACAGTGGTGCCCCTTACGGTTTTTTTTTTCAGGCGAAAAATTAAGTTTCTCCAATCTTCCCAAAACTCTGGATTCTGATAGAGGGCCATGAGACTTAGAATTGAGTGCAAAAATGGAGGCTCTAGCCCCTTCCAGAGCTGAGATATCGAAACTCAAAAGTTCGGTCCGAAAAAAAAAAAATTGACATTGGAACCCCTTACATTTTTTTTTTTCGGGCGAAAAATTAAGTTTCTCCAATCTTCCAAAAACTCTGGATTCTGATAGAGGACCATGAGACTTAGACCTGAGTGTAAAAATGGAGGCTCTAGCCCCTTCCAGAGCTGAGATATCGAAACTCAAAAATTCGGCCCGAAAAAAAAAAACGACAGTGGTACCCCTTACGTTTTTTTTTTCGGGCGAAAAATTAAGTTTCTCCAATCTTCTCAAAACTCTGGATTCTGATAGAGGGCCATGATACTTAGACCTGAGTGCAAAAATGGAGGCTCTAGCCCCTTCCAGAGCTGAGATATCGAAACTCCAAAATTCGGCCTGAAAAAAAAAAACGACAGTGGTACCCCTTACGTTTTTTTTTTTTTTTCGGGCGAAAAATTAAGTTTCTCCAATCTTCCCAAAACTCTGGATTCTGATAGAGGGCCATGAGACTTAGACCTGAGTGCAAAAATGGAGGCTCTAGCCCCTTCCAGAGCTGAGATATCGAAACTCAAAAATTCGGCCCGAAAAAAAAACGACAGTGGTACGCCTTAATTTTTTTTTTTTCGGGCAAAAAATTAAGTTTCTCCAATCTTCCCAAAACTCTGGATTCTGATAGAGGGCCATGAGACTTAGACCTGAGTGCAAAAATGGAGGCTCTAGCCCCTTCCAGAGCTGAGATATCGAAACTCAAAAATTCGGCCCGAAAAAAAAACGACAGTGGTACCCCTTACGTTTTTTTTTTTTTTCGGGCGAAAAATTAAGTTTCTCCAATCTTCCCAAAACTCTGGATTCTGATAGAGGGCCATGAGACTTAGACCTGAGTGCAAAAATGGAGGCTCTAGCCCCTTCCAGAGCTGAGATATCGAAACTCAAAAATTCGGCCCGAAAAAAAAAAACGACAGTGGTACCCCTTAATTTTTTTTTTTTTTCGGGCGAAAAATTAAGTTTCTCCAATCTTCTCAAAACTCTGGATTCTGATAGAGGGCCATGAGACTTAGACCTGAGTGCAAAAATGGAGGCTCTACCCCTTCCAGAGCTGAGATATCGAAACTCAAAAATTCGGCCCGAAAAAAAAAACGACAGTGGTGCCCTTACGTTTTTTTTTTTTTTTTTTCGGGCGAAAAATTAAGTTGCTCCAATCTTCCAAAACTCTGGATTCTGATAGAGGGCCATGAGACTTAGACCTGAGAGCAAAAATGGAGGCTCTAGCCCCTTCTAGAGCTGAGATATCGAAACTCAAAAATTCGGCCCGAAAAAAAACCCGACAGTGGTGCCCCTTACGTTTTTTTTTTTCAGGCGAAAAATTAAGTTTCTCCAATCTTCCCAAAACTCTGGATTCTGATAGAGGGCCATGAGACTTAGAATTGAGTGCAAAAATGGAGGCTCTAGCCCCTTCCAGAGCTGAGATATCGAAACTCAAAAATTCGGTCCGAAAAAAAAACCGACAGTGGTACCCCTTACGTTTTTTTTTTTTCTAGCGAAAAATTAAGTTTCTCCAATCTTTCCAAAACTCTGGATTCTGATAGAGGGCCATGAGACTTAGACCTGAGTGCAAAAATGGAGGCTCTAGACCCTTCCAGAGTTGAGATATTGAGATCCCACATAGCATTTATTCCATTATAAATAACTCAATATCTCAGCTCTGGAGGGGTGTGGACCCTCCATTTTTGCACTCAGGTGTAAGTCCCATGGCCCTCTATCAGAATCCAGAGTTTCAAGAAGATTGGAGAAACTTTTTTTTCCACACCAAAAAAATAAACGAAAGGGGTACGTACCACTGTCTTTTTTTTGGGTCGAAATTTTGATTTTCTCTGATCTTCTTGAAACTCTGGATTCTGATAGAGGGCCATGAGACTTAGACCTGAGTGCAAAAATGGAGGCTCTAGTCCCTTCCAGAGCTGAGATATCGAAACTCAAAAATTCGGCCCGAAAAAAAAAAACGACAGTGGTACCCCTTAATTTTTTTTTTTTTTTTCGGGCGAAAAATTAAGTTTCTCCAATCTTCTCAAAACTCTGGATTCTGATAGAGGGCCATGAGACTTAGACCTGAGTGCAAAAATGGAGGCTCTACCCCTTCCAGAGCTGAGATATCGAAACTCAAAAATTCGGCCCGAAAAAAAAAAACGACAGTGGTGCCCTTACGTTTTTTTTTTTTTTTCGGGCGAAAAATTAAGTTGCTCCAATCTTCCCAAAACTCTGGATTCTGATAGAGGGCCATGAGACTTAGACCTGAGAGCAAAAATGGAGGCTCTAGCCCCTTCCAGAGCTGAGATATCGAAACTCAAAAATTCGGCCCGAAAAAAAACCCGACAGTGGTACCCCTTACGTTTTTTTTTTTTTTCAGGCGAAAAATGAAGTTTCTCCAATCTTCCCAAAACTCTGGATTCTGATAGAGGGCCATGAGACTTAGACCTGAGAGCAAAAATGGAGGCTCTAGCCCCTTCCAGAGCTGAGATATCGAAACTCAAAAATTCGGCCCGAAAAAAAAACCCGACAGTGGTACCCCTTACGTTTTTTTTTTTTTTTCTAGCGAAAAATTAAGTTTCTCCAATCTTTCCAAAACTCTGGATTCTGATAGAGGGCCATGAGACTTAGACCTGAGTGCAAAAATGGAGGCTCTAGACCCTTCCAGAGTTGAGATATTGAGATCCCACATAGCATTTATTCCATTATAAATAACTCAATATCTCAGCTCTGGAGGGGTGTGGACCCTCCATTTTTGCACTCAGGTGTAAGTCCCATGGCCCTCTATCAGAATCCAGAGTTTCAATAAGATTGGAGAAACTTTTTTTTTCCACACCAAAAAAATAAACGAAAGGGGTACGTACCACTGTCTTTTTTTTTGGGTCGAAATTTTGATTTTTTTTTGCATTTTAAATAATAGACCATTTTTCAGTGATCGTCAATAGAACAAAATTACATTTTTCTTGGTTTAAACATGCGTGAGTATATTTATCTGCAAGAAGAATATGTAAGGCTGTAACGATCGCGACACTCAGATCCACGAACCTGCATGTGTCGCGGTGTGAGAAGACAGAATCACGACACCGACACGTCCCTTCAACTCCCGAAGTTATCCTTCACGTCCAGACCCAATGCTAGCTACAACATATTTAAATTACTGTTAGTATTTAGAGTTAACATTATAAAATACGTAGACTTACACCACAAAACTAGTTAAATTATTACTAAATTGTTTAAAATTGGTCAATTTCAGCGTTATGGAGGAGATCCATAATTCCCAGATTAAATATTTTAATAAATGGCCTATGTGAACAACTGCACAAACCAAAAGTAATACTCACCGGATGAAGAAGGGTTGACTCTCTCCAGAACATAAAATCTTTATTTTATTTTCCGTGTTCGCATTATGAGGAAAAACAATCCGAACGTGACCGTTCTCTAGAAGCAGCTCCCAGCAAACAAGGGACGTCCCCCGGACTTTTGAAACGTCCCCTTAGGTCCGCATTAGGTCCGCTTTATATGAGCTACAATTTGGCTATTCCACATGCACGAGGAGCTCTAAAAGAATGCATCGACTTCAAATTAAAAATATTATTTTTAAATATTATATTACAAAGAGCCAACTAAACCAGTTTACATTTGTACTATAGACATTGTACTGTTTTAAAAATGAATAAAAATATCCGAAGCCATGTAAGGCTAATTGTTTAGCTACATTAAATAATTTCCCACACCATTATGATTTTTAAAAACTGTCTATTTAATGTGTGATTAATGTAAATCACAGTGAACATATTCATGCAATAGTTAAAAGAATCCACCATATAAATATCTTTGCATCCTCCTCCCAAATATGAAGTGCTGTGAAAAATAATTGTCACAGCAAATCTCCACACAAGCACATTAAATCAAGATCAAGAACAAACTTGACTGTACAACTATAACCAAAATGGAAAACACTTTTATTATCGCTAAGGGTTCAAAATGTAAGCAGAGTAATGCAAACAGAAATGCAGATGGACAGCTGCTGAATCAGATGAAAGCAATGACTTCAAATGCAGGAGACGCCAAAAAGGATGGAAACGAGTCCAATTGCTGAAAGAAAAAAAAAAAGGAAAAATGCAGGTAAGATATATACATTCTTCTGTAATCTTGGCCTATATCATATTCCACAACCATAATATAAATTTAATCTGACAGACTGTTGGGGCCCGTTTCAATAAGGAGGTTCAACCAACTCTGAGTTAAAGCTTGAACTCAGAGTTGACTTACCCTGAGATGGGAAACTCTGAGTTTTCGGTTACAGAACAGCTGAAATGAGTTAGTTCGATCAACTCTGAGTTGACTGACTCTGAGTTAAGCGCGTGCACCACAGCTATAAAAAGCCATTATCAATGGAGCGCAGATATTATGAGTCACCATGGCAACAGCGCAAACAGACCAGACTCTTTTCGTCAAACCAGACAAAAAGAGGTGAGGGATTACTCTTAATTCTTCTTTAATTTAAAATAAAATATGATGCAAATAGGCTACTGCATAAACTATAGACCAATTCAGTATAAAACAATAGTAGTGGATTTAGCATACATTTTTAAAAGGTATATTTTTATATAACCTTCTCCCTCTACAGACTTTGATAAATTCAAGAATAATTCCTGCAATTGTATTGTTAATTTGAAAGCATTAAAAGTGCAGTTTCTTGTCTCTCCTCCTTGTATTAATCAAGTGGTTGAGGTTGATATAGGATTTAGTAATATGTAGACCAATACTTTCTAGAGATAGTAATTATTACATTAATCTAACTACACCGTTGAAGATGTCATTTGTAGTTAATAATTCATAACTATTTTAGAGTAACTGTTATAATATCAGAGGTGAAACTGGAAGAATGTTATTCAACCTAAAGTAGTCTACTATTACTTTGATACATTTTTACTTAAGTAAAAGTAAAAATACCAGTCTAAAAAATCTACTCAAGTAAAAAGTAGTTAATTTAAAACATGAGTAAAAGTTGCTGAGTAACTTGTTTAACAGCGGGGGTGGGGGACTCCCCCATGTGGGGTTGTAACGTATGAGAGTTTCACAGTATGAGAACCGTCTCAGAAAATATCACGGTTTATGGTATTAAACAATTGTTAAATATATAAACTGCATTATTAAATTACGGTTATTATTTTCATCAGTTAAAATGACAGTTAAATAAATTAAACATTTATTCAATAAAACATAATATCAACTAACTTCAATAATTGATTATGATTATGATTGACATCTTATTTTTTATCATTAATAACTTATTAAATTTTATTACAATTTTTTCAATGATTTAATAGAAATATTATCCAAAACAGTGGTAATCAAATAAAAGTTTAGCAAATGTTTTAATCCTTTTATTTTTTGGCAAAGTGCTGCAAAACAGATTTAGTCAATTAAACCATGGACAAACAATATATATATATTCCTAAAGAATGTGTAAATACATTTTAGTATTATTGTTGGTGTTTAAACAGCACTTCTTCCTTGTTCCTCTTTAAAAAAGGGGAGGAGACCGCAAGAAACTCTGGGTTTACTGAAGAAAACCTGCTCCCGACCAGGTTAGGTTCACAGAGTAAGTTACCATGGCTGTAGTTAGTTATGTCATTATTTTCAAAACAAATTCTGAACAGAAATATACAAGTTATTTGAGAATTTGGAGAGGAGAATCATACTGAAACTAGACGCAATCGAGGAAAACATCACATCAGCATTCAGAATGCAGAATATGAGGCAGCCAAGCACCTCTGTCTCTGATCTCACAGAGGTGCTAGAGGAACCCTGTGAGACTGTGGAGGAATTAGAAGAGCTCTGTGAGAAGCTAAAGGATGCTGACCTTCGAAAGAAGATAGTAGTACTAGTAACATAACAACACAATTAACATTACTAACCTGAAATACTAAAAACAATCCACTCTTGTGATTAATTGCTGTTCTTTGTTTGTAGATTCGTTATCTGTGTCTTCAGAGTGGAGGCACCTTGGGAGATGGAATAAGGAGAATGTTAAAAAAATTGGAGATAACTCTTTATGGACACATTATAGCTACAAAGGGAGAAAGGGAAAGCTTAAATTTCAGCAGCTCCTAATTAATGATGTGATCATACGTACGTTTCAAAACTTGCCACTTATAATGACTAATAATGCGTCAATCCCCAAAATGTAAATAAATTAATCTTAAATGTATAAATGTAAAATTTGTTAGTTCTCAGGTCTTAGCGTTCAGACTCATAGCACTCATTTTGAAAACAAGATTTAATTTTGAAGCGTTTTACTAGAACTTTCAACATCTATCTGAGTGCAAGTTTTAATAACTGTAATCTAATCAAGGTGCATGCAGTAAGGCATATCCACACCAAAAAAGCCATGGTGTGGAGGAAATGATTGCTGTGACCCTGAAACATGCCCCAGATCGTGCAAAAACAGCAAATCAGGCAAGTCAAGTGCATAACATTTAATTCTAGCAATTATAATAGGTTAGATTACATTAGAGTTACATTATTTAGGTACAATGTAACATGACCATATTGACCATGATCATGACCATGACAGATTAAAATTATTTGATCTAATAAAAAATATGCACGCTGCAATGCAAAACTATACTATTTTGTCAATAAAATACAACTATTACATTTTTCATATAAAATGCAAGTTCAAGACATTTGAAGGATAAGAAAAAGCTTTAAAACCATGTCATATTCATTCTTTGCATAGAGCTGAACTTTTTTAATTTACTGATGGCTACAAATTTTACTATATTAATTCTCAATATGTAAACATTCATTTTTAATCTTTTGCCTATGATGAAAACGGCTTCATGTTTCTTGACCACTTCACAAGATGTAAACAACACTGGTCCAGAAGCACTTGCTGTTTCAGTTTTTTAACACTAAAGCTGGGATAAAATACAACCAACAGAACATTTAAAACTGAATCAAAAAGTTAAACAAACATCTTTAAGATGTTTTCTTTAGGCTACATGTGAAATAAAAGAAAACAGTTACAAACTGAAACATGAAGTGTTTCTGGACCAGTGTTGTTTACATCTTGTGAAATGGTCATGAATCAAGTTACAATAAAGGCCCATTTTCAGTTCAAAATGTTATAACGTTAACATTTATAATATAAAACAGTTGTCAAATATGAAATGTTTAGTTTAGGTACTTACATCTCATCACGCACTTGACCCGTAAAAACGTGTCGACTTTGGTAAAATTCGCGCTCAGCGTCTGTGAATATAAAAGCCCTCCTACTTTGATTTGATTGGTCATCTCAAATATTTCTGACATTGACGAGCAGTGACGACAGATGAAGCTGAAAACGCACACACAAACACACTCTGTCCTCTGTATCTGACGTGCGATTGAATAACACGCTGATTATAAGATGGGGCTTTTTTCTTTGAAAAAACAAGTGTAATAATTTGAATCAGAAACATTTTAATAATAAAAATATCTAACATTTCATAGGAATATTGGTGTATAATTTATTTCCATATGGGTCTCCCAAAATGGCTGATAAACATGATTTAAATTTTGATCTCCTTTACAGTGGACATATGAAATCAATGCCCTTTGATATTCTGTAACAAAGTCTTTATCCCAATAATATCAAAGATCATAATAACAAAAATCTATAAATATCATTAGATAGCCTAAGTTACATAGCCTACTTATGATGTCATAAGTAAAACAATAATAGAGTATTTGGCCTAATGAATACAGTATAGGTATAGCTGTCTGAATTGCGTGCGACAAAGTCGCCATGCAAGCTATGAGTTACATTATGAACTTATATGTAGAGATCAAGCTGCCTGATGTTTGCATTTTCACATAAATGCACAACGATAACATATATTCAGATAATAGTTGCTCATTTCTTTATTTCAGGTTAGAAGCCAACAGGAAGAATTTCCATCGGAGTAACCCCGGCCACAGCTGACAACCAGGTCCAGAGACCATGCAGACCCCCCCCCCCCACCCACCCCAGACACACAACGCACCAACGCACGCACGTTCACACACGCGCTTTTTTATGTATATTTAGTTTTTATTTTGTTGTTGTTGTTGTTGTTTGTTCTTCCTCTCCTTTGTTTTTGTTATCCCTGTTTATTTGTTAAAACATGTTTCAATATGTGATATCTGTCAATATGATATCTGTCATGCGAAGCATTCCTGTTATACTGTATTTTATACTTGGATTTATTTCTCAATAAAAAAAAAAAAAACCGTTCACACACGCGCGCACTACAATTGTTCAAAATAAATGTACTTTGTTCCTTAAATTTTTCACGTGTCTTCTTTGGCTCTTTTCTGGTAAAAAGTAAAATAAAACGAATTAAGCAAAAGTCCCCTAAACGTCCCGAATGACCGCAGGTGGTCCTGTAAACGTCCTCTTGAACGTCCGGAGGACGTCCTCGTGAAGGTCCGCGGGACATCAAGCGGACTCCACATGGGGACGTTCGCGGGGACGTTCGCACAGGCCATTTAGGGGACGTTATGGGGACCTTTTTTTGTTAGCTGGGAGCACTAAAACTTTCACAGAACTTAAACATGCAAGCACAAAGCCTTTCTTTAAAGTGAATTTCGTTTTAAAATAATTATCTTAATTTAAATCAATGGTTCATCAACCAATTACTAGGATTTAATAATAAGAAATAAATTGCAGACAATGGATAGGCTAGGCCTAATCACGACGCGGAGACGCGCGGCACGTGAACTGAAGCTTGTCTCATGAACCGAAAGTCAGCGTATAAGGTATCCTCACAGATATTGAAATGTCTACTTTTAAACACAACCATTCAAAATGAAAGAAAACAGACTGCTCTCTGCTTATGTGGGCTGTACTACGGAAGCCCTGAACCGCAACCTAAAAAAAAAAAAAAAAAAAAAAATCTGTAAAAAAAAAAAAAAAAATCTGTAAAAAAAAAAAAAAAAAATCTGTAAAATAAAAAATCTAGCATTTCGAGATTAAAGTCGAAATGTTTCGAGATTAAAGTCGAAATGTTTCGAGATTAAAGTCGGAATGTTTCGAGATTAAAGTCGAAATGTTTCGAGATTAAAGTCGAAATGTTTCGAGATTAAAGTCGAAATGTTTCGAGATTAAAGTCGAAACATTGTGCATTCATAACAGTGCGCGTCCACTGGCTCAGAGCGCGCGCGCGTGTGTGTGTGTATGTGTGAAGTCGAACTGCCATGGATAAACCCAAAATAGTAGCTTTTTACTTTTATCTGGGCTTTCAACAAAATTCTACACACGTCACACGTGCTAGTGGCAGTGTTTCTGATGTGTTTTCGTGCTCGTCTAGTCAACACTATCTGGGTCGAGAACACAACAGTAACTGTTCGGTCTCCCTCTTCAACGTAAATACGCTCTGGATACATTTTAAGTGCATCATTCTGTATCCAATCATTTGGCCGGATCCTGTGATTTCCTAAGATTTAATAACCACTTATGGTTGAGGAGAGATTCTCTGATATAATTGTAAAGCACTTCGAGTGTAGGCATATATGAAAGCGCTATATAAATGCCCTATTCATTCATTCATTCATTCATTCATAAAGCTGGATTTCTCCATCCAGTCTGAAAAGTGTTTTCCGTGTTGGTTTTCCTATAGGCTAGTCTATTCCGGCGCATTATATTTTATAACGATAAAGTAAGATAAGTAATTCAGATAAAAGTAAAAAGCTACTATTTTGTGTTTATCCATGGCAGTTCGACTTCACGCGCGCGCTCTGAGCCAGTGGACGCTCACTGTTATGAATGCACAATGTTTCGACTTTAATCTCGAAACATTCCGACTTTAATCTCGAAACATTTCGACTTTAATCTCGAAACATTTCGACTTTAATCTCGAAATGCTAGATTTTTTTTTTTTACCTTTTTTTTTTTTTTTTTTACTGACTTTTTTTTTTTAGGTTGCGGTTCAGGGCTTCCGTACTAATCCGTATGAAAACTGAATTTCTTTCTGACTCCTCTTCAATCTTTCTGATTTTAGAACATTTTTGTAAAAGTGACTTTTTTAATTATTTATTCCAAAAAACTTAAAAATAAGTTGAGCTTCAGCCTCGTTAAATTGCATTTATATATATGTTAATCTATTTGGTCAAATTAAGCTATATAAAATAAATAGTTTATCCTTTAAAATGCTATGGATTTTGAAAGATATCAACAAAAAAAAAAAAAGGGCAAAAAAACGTTAAAAGCGATTTTCTCAGGTTTTCAATTGGGAAAAAAGGGCAGACGACCAGAATTCAAATGTGTATATCTTTACAACGATTCAAGGTATGACTTTGACCAAGGTATCATTTGAAAGCTTACAGTGTCCTCTTTCTATTAATATCAAAATCTCAATTTTTAAATTTGGGTCACTGTGACTAATTTTGCTGTTAAACCGTGACATCTACACGTTTTCCAAAGTGGACCAACATGATTATTTCACGTCTTGTTGTGATACCGGGTTGGGCACTTGAAGTTACAGGAGTTTCTTCACGTTGCTAAACAACGGAACTAGGTCGAGTATTTAAAAGGTCATGGTTAACAAGGTTAACGCGGCTTAACGTCGATGTAATACGTTGTTTTAGCGTACCTTTTGCTCAAACGAGGAGCTGGGGGACGCCGGAAAAATAGACAGTCACATTTTACTCATTAAGCTGCTTCATTAAAAACGTGACATTTAGACGTTTTATTCGGCGTGGATCGAGGCAAATGAATCCTTTTCACCTTGAAAATAATAAATGTTTTTTTTTTTTTTTTTTTTTTTGCATTTTAAACTATAGACCATTTCTCAGTGATCGTCAATAAAACAAAATCCCATTTTTCTCGGTTTAATGAAAACCAATAGGTCGTTATGGTAAGTTTAAGTTTCACGTTTGAGGGGGTGAAACCGTGACATCTAAACATTTTCCAAAGTGGACCAACGTGGTTAGTCTTGTCGGCTGGAGAAATGTTGTTTTGGCCACTTTGTTTGATATAATCACAACAATTTAACGTAATAAGCAAGAATGGGATTTAAACTCAGGTCTTTTTGATTAAAGCCCAACGCTTTATCAACTGAGCCACTGAGTCTGTTGACTTCAAGGGTTTATTGGATGGTTTTTATTGCAGGTTTGGTTTTATTTGTTGGAAAATAATAAATATATAAATATTATTTGACACAAGAAGGCAGTATAGCCCTATTGTTTTGAGTTTAGACCCTTCTAGAGCTGAGACATTGAGATCCCACCTAGCATTTATTTTTGAATTTAAATTTTGAGTTTCTCTGATCTTCTTGAAACTCTGGATTCTTATAGAGGGCCATGTGACTTAGACCTGAGTGCAAAAATGGAGGCTCTAGACCCTTCCTGAGCTGAGATATTGAGATCCCACGTAGCATTTATGCCATTATAAATATCTCAAAAAATTATATTAGCCCATGATTTAATCACCCTGGCCTCTAGCCATCCTTGGTATTCTTCTGTCAGACGAAAACAATCAGAGTCATATTAAACAATGTCCTGGCCCTTCCAAGCTTTATTTTGGCTGTAAATGGTTGTTTCTGTTTTGAAAGTCCATAAAAGTGCATCTATCCATGATACAAGTGCATCTATCTATCATAAAAGTGCACCTATCCATTATAAAAGTGCATCTATCCATCATAAAAGTGCCATCTTCCTCATTACTCCACATAAACTCAACATCTGAGATATTTTCATCAGCTACATGTTCAAGCACTTGAAAGAGTTTAAAAAATGTATCGGTACTTTGATATATATATTGTTTTTGTAAAAGAAATTTCAATCAGCATCACTGAAAATATGACTTCAGTAACAGGCTTTCAAACCAGCGGAGTCTCATCCCAAGTCACATAACTGACATCCTGGGACGTCTTTTGACCATATGTCAACATCTGCCTTTTTAGGGTACCCTTAAACGTCAGTTAGATGATGTTATCGGATCCTAACCCTACCCCAGACCTAAACCTACCCCATCACCTAACCATCGTTAAAGGTAAAGCATCAGTTGTATGACAGCCCGGGATCGTCATGTTATCGACGTTTAAGGGTACCCTTAAAAGGCGGATGTTGACGTATGGTCAAAAGACGTCAGTTATAGGACTTCTTGGTATGAGACTGTGTTATTCAAACCTACTGTCCTTTCTAATGAACAGACACAGTTTTAAAAAATCCTGATTTAAAACGTGCAATTCTACAGTCGATTTTTAACTTTAAGAAGTTAAATCTTTCTATTTTACGTACAGTACAAA